ATGCTTACTGTACGTATACGATGGTATGCCAAAACACTGAAGTGCTAGATGATGACCGATCTGACATTTTTTTAGCAAATATCATGTTATCGCTAACATCGATATCACCTTGATAACGACCCCCCTTTCCTGACCCTCACAATACGACCTGTGGCGCCCCACACACGCCACGCTTGACTCCGTTCATAGTCAGCATATCAAATAGCCCCTGCGTACCAAGCTTGAGCGAATTCTGAAGTTTGCAAATACTGGGCCAACTGAGTGTAATGGTCATTTTATTACGTAAACAACTTTGTTTTGAAGTGAATTAGCTACCTCTTTTGGCATTCAGTGCGAAGCACTACTCCTTATTGCCCACCTCACAGATTCCACTCTAAAAGACCTCCAAATTGTGAATTTAAAAGCCAATTATAATCGCGTTTTTCCCATTTTTCGCTTTTGTTGGCTGTACCCACCAACTATTACTCCGAGCAAGGAAGACGAATCAGGCTCAAATTACTCTTGTGAAATCTACAAGGTTTATGTATCGAATCATATAAATATTAATCGCTAGAAAAGTTTCTTAAGGTAAGCTAATATGGTGTGACACAACCCCAGAAAGGATGTGGCAGCCACACCTTGGAGGTCTTTTGAAGCGGGATTTCTATGGGAAAAACAGAAGTGCTCTGCATTGAGTTCCAGAAAAGGTAGCTAGTTCACCTTTAAAACAAAGTAATTATGTGCTAAAATGACCATTTCACTCAGGTGGCCAAGTGTTTGGAAACTTCAGAATTCGCTCAAACTTGATCCACGGGGCTATTTGGCTTGCTTTGCTTGACTCTAGCCACACCTCTTGCCTGACCATGGAATATTTACGTCCATTCAGAGGCATGTGGTAGAAATGGGATATGGGAATATCAGAACTACATATACGGCGGAGGCATCCCACAGTTACTGGTAAAATTCGTATCAAAATCAGTGATTTTTTTTTTTCGGAAAACTCCGAGGTATGCTTTCTAGGCGAATCAGTCCACCGCTTGTTTAAGTAAGTACTTCATTGCTTGTCAAAACACACATGCATCAAAAGTGAAAAGGTCGAGAGTGCGAAGACAAAATAAATCAGGGAAAATCTGAGTTTAAATTATTGATTATTTCAGGCGAATCATTCGAAACGGATGTAATTATCAATCATCGCAAAAAAATGTCTAATTTGTTACGGACAAGACGACATAAATCATAGTTCTACTTTGAGGTGCTAAAATATATGAGGATATGCATAACTACTGGAAATTTATACATAACTAGCTGGCTTTCCCGGCCCAGCCCGGGTCATTGTTTAGGAGGATGAAATAAAGCCATAATTTGTTGTTCCGCTTTTCCGTTCCGTTCGCTCCAGTCTCCCGCTCCCATGTATTGCTATATATGTCCACTTTCTTCTGCTCCCTTGTCTCTGTACTGCACTGAAAGTACCCCCCTCCCTCCTTTTCTACCGCATGAGCTCACCTCTGAACGTTCTTTTTTCGATTTTTTACCGCAAATTAACACGAGTTTACTGCCATTGTTTCCTGATAAGGGAAGCTACCTAACTTAGCTCGGCCTTTTGGCAAGAAGCATATATAGTCTGAATCAGCTTCAAAAGCTGATTCCAAATATGCTATTCCTAGCTGCCACGCACCATTCGGAAGCGAGTTATGGGCTTTTTCCTGCGCAAAATTGGCATGCTCATCGACTCACGGGGCATCACGTCATCATCATTTGAGTGCTAATGCACCTAAGTTAAGCTTTTTCTTGTGTGAAAAGATTGAATTTGTACTATTTCGATACCTCAGCACCTTTTTCTTGCAAATTTTTATCTACAGGCATTCTTCTCTTTTTCAATAGTATGCCAATTCTGCGTAGGAAAGAACCATAACTCGCTTCGGAATGGTGCATGGCAGCTAGGAATAGCATGTTTGGAATCAGCGTTTGAAGCTAATTCAGAATATATATGCCTTTTACCAAAAGCACGAGTTAAGTTAGGTAACTTTCCCTATAAGATATGTAGCAAATTTCGCAATTTTATGCCTTTTACCAAAAGCACGAGTTAAGTTAGGTAACTTTCCCTATAAGATATGTAGCAAATTTTGTTAAGAAGCTTAATTTTCATTTCTGGGTAGCAAAAATCGATAAATCGATAAAAGGACCCAGCCAATCGCTTTGAAAAGTAACCTAAAACAATCTCCGAAGTCGAAATAACTGTATGCAAAGTTTCAGCCCAATCGGTTGAGTGGGGCGATTTCTCGCGTACCAATTGATGGACGCAAATGACCGTCAAATCTAATTCAGGGTTAGCACATCCTTCAGGAGTGCCGACGAATGTTTGCAAGCTTTGAACAGTTTGTCTAGTCGCCAGTTCTGCATTTTTGTATGAAATGTGTGAAAGAATTCCGATAAAATCGCATATACTTTGACTCAACCTCAAAAGTTATCAATAAAAAGAAAGGAGGGCGGCAGAGCCACGGTAAAGGATAGAGAAACGCCGAAACGGACGGTCCCCGATTGCAAATGACTGCGGGGATCACCCATCGGAGACTTCTAGTCCTCTACCCCAGAGCCATTGTCACTGAAGTAAAGTCACTATATTTTTGGCACTGCTTAAAAAGCCTTGACTGTGTGGCAGAATCCTCCAAAGACCCACAGCTGCTGCTTCGGGTGTGCCCGTGAGAGGCCTATTTTCAGCGCGCCTACTACACTCACGTCCCACATCTCCGGCAAATTCCAGCATTGGTTTCCCTCCGGACAATGACTTGTTTCTCTTGGCCTTGAGAAGATAATCGCAAAAACGACGATTTGTCAACAGTAACCAAAAATTTAGTTTGTAGAGATTTGACTACTGTTGGTAGGTTTGGAGGAGCAAGAAAGAATGAGCGAAATTGATGTGTTGATCATCAGTGCTCGTCCTTGCGCATCTATGATTGCTCTTCCTATGCCGATTCCTATGTAAAGGGAGCTCTAATGTCAGAGATGCGAATTCCGCAAGAACTATCTCAATGACGGCTTTCAGATAGCAGATTGCTGTTACAGAATCGAGAAGACGAAGGTGAGATAGAAGAAGCAAATCTTGTGCAGCTACATTTGTCATTTAGTGAGGAACTTTAGTCAGTACCGTTGTACTACGGACACAGAGAAATCGAACATGAATGCTGCTTTCATCGGAGGAGATTTCATTGCGAAAGAAGCGGCTTGATGTTTTTGGAAAGTGCATGAGCAAGTCGGTCCGTAAAATTGTCGGACGGAAAATCCATTTTCGGATTAGTTTAGAATTTCAGACTTCTCGACCTCACGTTGGTCAAACTTTCTGCGACTTATCTTTATCTACCATATGCATCATATTCTAACTTGCCGCTTTCATTGAGTTCCTTTTCTCGGCAACAGCGTAAAATTTTGATTTATAAAATTCTTTGACACTATTTCGTGTTAGTCATCTGCGTGATATTTACTTTATGCCTGCATGAGACGTTATACAGATAGTATATTTTCAGATTCAGAATTCGCATTTGTGCAGTAGTGCAAAATGTTTTTGGTTCCAAGCATCATGGGTGCAAAAATAACGTCCGTTTTTCTAAGCCCTTTTCTGGACAGCTTCTTACCGTCAAAATTTCTTTTTCGATATGATTTTGCAAATCATCTGTACGTAAAGTCGACTGCGCCAAATCGCCCATATAGCAGTAGGCTGAACGCATGCGAGCGTGTCTGCAACGCAGCTGCCGAGTACGGGCGATATGATGACTCATACGCGCAAATGCCAACATTAGCAAGAGATGCGCCTGCGGACGTCCATCCGCGATTCTGTGCAGTCAACTATACCCGCCCTTTCTAATAATAGTTCGATTAGGCTTCTATGCTCATTTGTGTGAACTTCGCAGCATTTTACACACTCCGCCCTCAAAATCAAATTTTTCATTGCTTGCTTTTGTTGGTCACAATCCCAGCGCAAATAAACGATTTCCTTTGAAAACATGCTACTGTGTGGGATAGATATTGTTTACCTTGTGCATTCTCAAACTTTTTCGAAATTATCATCTGGGCTGATAAAGTGACGCTCTAAAATGAATACTTAATGCTGGTATCCTATGGACCGAGAATTTCTCCCAAATAAAGCAATCGTCAAAACTTCGCTCATTTCGATGGAGTGAGATCAAGAATTATTGCCTACACTTTTTGCAAGAAAAAAATTAACTGCTCAGCGCATGAAGAACTGCAAATTTTCATGATTTGGGGCTTCAGACCTACCACAAGTAGGCTCAAAAAAGTGGATAATTTTGGTTTTTCATCTTTTTGCGCAGAAGTCCTTCATTGAAGTCCCTTTTACTCTCACTATGTTACGGCGGGATTGGACAAAGCTGCAGCTGTCAAAGTCAAATTTTGCCAAACGGACATTATTTTTGCATCAACTTAATAACAACTGGCAAGCATTGGGCTCCTTTTGATATGTGGTTGTTAACAAATTGGTCTAGGCACCATTTACATAATTTGGTGAAAAAACTTTTCCTTTTACTCTGAACATGGTAATAAATCTTTTCTGTGCCTTTAATGACTTCTGCAGAAAACAGTATACCCTCGACGTCAATCCCTAAGTTACATTTGCAAAGTGGAGTGGTGTGGTGCAGCCGCCTCGCTTTGCGCTGCGCCACGTTGCTGGTGCATCGTTTAGACGTGATGTGGCGCTAAAAACAACGTGGCGCCACAACATGTTCAAACGTGGCAACAAGAACAACGCTTCTTCGTTGCTCCTGTTGCCACGCCATGCCAACTCATGCGCTCGCAAGGTGGCGCGAGCCCAAAGCGAGGCGGCCGCACCGTAACACTCCACTTTGCAAATGTAACTTAGGGATTGACGTCGAGGGTAGCTGTATGAGCATGATATATAGCAGGTTTTGTCCTGCGAAAGAAATATTGGTGCTGAAGTTTCTGTGTATGCATCGTTAAGGTTCTTTTTTTTTTCAAATATCAAATGTGCATGATCCAACCCTCTGAATGCATGAAATGATAAATTTATCTGTTGCATAATAAATAAATACACTTGTTCAACAATGAAGGCCGCAACTAACTGTACATATTCTTGCAGGTAATACTCGTCATCGTGGCGAACATCACGCTGAAAGAGAAACAAGTTGGTAGAGAAGTGATGGTTCGATCATGGGTTATAAAGCGCTATACTGTCGTGTGTCGTCGCAACGGCGGACTTCGGCTGAGCGAACATCACTCGTGCTTGATGGGCATGCAACAAAATAAACGCAAAGATGGTGCTAAACAACGGGCATTGCGGGATAATCGTGCATAACTGAACCAACTTGCTACTCTATGAACTAAGTGTTAGCAACTTTGGCAGATCATTTTCATATTTTTTCGGAATTAGTAAGTAACTCAATTCTGGCAACTGAGCACCTCGAATCGACTGAACAGGCACAAAAACATAAGGAACATTGGGGAATTGAGGCAAGGTAATGGTCGTCATGGTGTTAGCGATCGCCTCCGTGCTGTGCTCATTACCTGCTTGGGGTGATGTCGTGCTTTCGGCCGCGATCGTGATTTCATTCGATGGTGATTCTGTGCCCGTGAGCAGCGTGGAGGTCTCCGAAGGAACTGATGCCCTTTCCTCAGCTGCGCTGCCTTCTGCGGTACCTTCTGGAGCTTCTGCAGATCCCTCTGCAGACTCCTTGTGTTCCACCTCCTTAGGCGCTTCTCCTGCAACGGGTTGAGCAAAAGTAGCTGCAGACTGCTGGTTGACTGCTGTGCCCGTCTCTGTTGAAGAGGATGATTCCGCTGGTTCTTTCTTTTCACCTTCCGCTGTAGTCTCGGCTACAACCTCGGTGATGGTTCCTGCAGCTTTTCCTTCATCTAAGATGAGTTCACCCGTCGTGATGTTTTCTGCCACCTGAGCCACCTGGGCGTCCACAACCTTAGCCTCTTCCTCGGTACCTGAACCGCCTTCTTTGGCAGCAGCTTCGCTTTCAGGAGTTTCGGTTGTGACCTTAGTTTCAATTGCAGTAATAGTACTCAATCCCTCTGCTAGAACCTCACTTGTGCTACCGGTAGTGGTTTCGGCTGCGGACTCTGAAGGCTGCTTCGCTTCAGCCCCAGTGGTTTGTGTCAGTTCTTCGGCCTTTGTGGTAGATCCTGAGCCCTCATGCTCAACCGTACCTTCAGCTGCTTGACCTTCAATGGGCTTTATCGATGATTGCTCTTCTGAGGACTTTTCCTTCTGAATCTCTGACGTCTTGCCTTCAGGCTGTCCTTCAGCAGATTTTGGTTCCGAAAAGCCCTCAATAGATGGTCCTCCTCCTAGACGTCCTTCGGCTGGTTTTCCTTCTTCTTCTATGACATTTGTCTCCTCCGCTTTCTTCTCCTCCACTTTTTCCTTAGCGAGCTCTCCTTCTTGCTCAGCAATTTTCTCCTTGCCTTCCTCTGCAGTGATATTCTCACCACGTTGCTCTGCACTAACCTTCTCACCGCCTTCCTCTGCTTTCTTCTCAGTGCCTTCCTCTGCAGTTTTCTCAGTGCCTTCCTCCGCTTTCTTCTCAGTGCCTTCCTCTGCTTTCTTTTCAGTTCCTTCTTCTGTTTTAACCTCTTCCACGAGTGTAGATTCATTCGTTGGTTTCTGCTCTTCAGCCTTTGTTATGACTGTAGCATTTTCCGCGTCTATCTCTGATATCTCCTCTTTCTTAAGCGTCCCTACAACGTCGTCCTTGCTTTCACTGATCTTCGTCTCGGCTTCACCAGCCTTTTCATCGATCGTTTCTCCAAACTTCTGGCTTCCCAAACCGAAGTTAAAAATTTGTCGAATATTTTCCTTTGTGATGGACCGGATCGGGTAGATTCCAGTGGGCTGAAAAGAAAATCATTTCTTCAAGTGTACTATGTATATTTTCAGAGGTTTTCTCACTTTTTTCTAGAACTTTATTGATTATTAGAATAGTGAATGTTTTTTTTTCTTTTCAACAAATCACATCGTCAAGAAACATATTCAAAATACCGGGGTAGCTAGTTTACAAACCATTGTTTGCGCAAAGTTGTCGGAACTAAATCCCTATGATTTTCGACACTTGACAGGGCCTGTGTTGAGTACTTCTAGGATACGCAGATTCTGTGGGGATAGAAAGTTGCAGAATGAACAGGAGTACTGTTTTTCTATTCTGTGGGCCATAGGTTGTTATAATCTAACACACACCGTGCAGATTTCAATTGTCTGCCTTCTGGGACCAAGGCCTTTTACGGAGCAGCCCACATTTCTCTACAGTACACCTACAATAGATCTGAAAAGCTGACAGAAAGGAGCGCACAAACGATCTGATGAAATGCGCTCAAATCGTTCTTTGGATCCAAGCATACCAGACTGCAAGCTGAATGAGAACTCCGAACTTTGATGCGCATTCACCACCATAACGACAGCATAGCCGCATAAACTTTATACGAAAGTCTAAAAAGATATTATATATGAGGCAACTGTGGCAAAACCGGCTGACAGCCCAAATTTTGCATTTTTGGTGAACACACCTGCATTCAAATTGGTTCGGATCCAATAAGCCGTTGAATGTTATGGCGTCCTAACAACTAACCCAAAACTCATCAAACTTTTTAGATAGAAACAGACTCCATAGCACTGCTCACTGGCCTGCCCTAATTGCTAAAATTATCTTCAAAATTGAGCAATATATCACCGAGCCAGGTGGCAATCTAGACCATACTTTCCATGCTTGTTTACCATCGGAAAATTCGTCTTTTTTCTCGAAGTTTTTGTCTATTAGCAGCGCTATATCGAAACTAGTTCTAATGAGCTAGATGTTTTTAACGTAGCTTAATCTGGATATTCACTTACGCACGCGGAAATGCCTTTTTTGCGCTTCTTTTCGCTGCGGATTCGCTAACAGCTTCGAAACGGTGATGGAAGACAAAAAAAGGTGCTAGCCCAGCTAAGCAGTGTTCCCGTTAATTTGGGATTAAGTGTTTTTCATCCGAGATACTTTTCAGTCTGGTATAGGCACTGCAGACTTTGGAGTTCAGTACGAACGAATCATAAATTTTTTTTTCTGGCATAAACGAATCCTAATCGCATTTCTAGCAACGAAGAGACGCCAACTTGGCAAGGTTTATATCACGTCAACAATTACGTACTTTTTTGAAGGACCACTGGAACAAGTGAACCATGCTATCAATTTCTTAAGGGGTCAAGCAGTGAAGGGTAGGCACGATTTGTAGCGAATGCAAGAGGGACCATGCATAGCTATGGTATTTATATATAATATATAAGTTATTATAGATGTAATTCAGCCGAAATTATCATCTTAAGCTTCACTTATTCGATCACGCCTGGAGAATTTCGAAACTCGAAAAGTTTACGCTATTTGAATCGTGCACCCTTTCATCAAGCTACAAGCAATACGAGATAAATGCTCGAAAGCCTGTGCAAAATTGGAAAGAGCAGGTAATTGAAACCTAAAGTTTGCTGCACGTGACCAACACCTGTTCTTAATCGCAGACCAGAACTAATTTCCAGAAAATTAGGAAAATTTGAGCGATTAATAATTACGCGTTTTGCACATCGGCAATTTTCAAAAGCTGGTTAATGAGGCGTAGAAAATTGAAGGACGTTGCTAAGATATCCCATGCTGCTGTTTCATGGGTTTTTGGTTTGGTCAAAGTTGCATGAATATTTAATGTACACATCTTGCATTAGAAAATATTTCTTGCATAGGTATACTGCTCTAAAAAATGTGTAACTCGCATCATGCTTGCAAATAATTCTAAAAAAATCCATCATTTGAAAATTTGTCTTTCGATTCACTGACTAAGAGTAGCTTTGCTTTCTAGACTGCGAAATACTCTTTTGCTTCCGCGTTACACTTTTTCGCAAATCACATGCGCGCACTGTGTGATATCTCGACGGGGATCACGAGAATGTTATAAGACAGTCTCTTGGATAAGCCCTTAGCAGGGCTCGGCATGAGTTTGTTTCTAGGCTTCTTGAAAACAAAGTCTTCCTTGATTTTTCTCGAAATTTCACGAAGTCCTCTTTGCCTCTCGGCAGTGGCTAACTTGCAATTTTAAGGAAAGCCAAATGCCACATATTTCTTAATTGCGGAAACTGGACTATGGCTAGTGGCCAGTGGCGTACCGAGCCCCTCCCCACGAAGAATGGGTCGTGAAATCTTTGAAAGTTACTTATATGGGTTATAAAAATGTGCAAGTGACTTGTTTATACTGTAAATAATTAGAATAATTTGAAATTTTTCAAAAATTCAAATTAGCCTTGTAAAAAATTTTGGTTATGGGCCCACAAAAATTTTAGGAAGCATCCCAAAAATTTTTTCAGAATGTAACGTCACGCACCTTCATCCGAAAAAATTCTATGTCGTCCCCCCCCCCAGTCAGAAATCCTGGGGCCGCCCACTGCCTCTCAGCCCCAAACGTAAAAAATCCTCAAAAAATGCATGTCGGCTAAAACGCCAATTTTTGGCTACAACGATACCCCCTTTGCTTTTTCGCCCCAAAAACGAAATCTAGCCTGCTTCCATACGCGCCGCGCCGGGCCCTGGCCCGGAGATGCTGGCGGTAGCTTAAAGGCAGAGTCTAGGCTAAATTCAACCCTTCCAATTAGTGCCGATCCTAAATGTATGCCCCAGGAGAGGGGACATTTGCATTGGGAATGGAGATAATGGGCCTGGAACAACCAAAGTGCTACCAAGTCCCGCCCAGATCCTATCAAGCTTCTCCCACCCGTGTACTGAAAGCCTTCGCGCATCAAGACAGAGTCCACAGGAATCGGGGTTTTTTGGGGAGGGGGGGGGCTTTGGATAAAATTTCAGCTTCACAACTGTAATCACGGCCACGGAAAGGCTCTAGAATGGCAAAAGTAAGAGGAGGGGCAAATTTGGGTGGACGCTGCGTTTAAGTTCAGCTCCAAAAATCGCTAGTCACTGTTTTTTCACCTATCAGAATCACTGCAAGGAAATTCGGGTGATAAGTTTATTTTCTCCTTATCATCCCTGTCAACAAATCAAGGTGAAAGTGGTAGCCCATTTTGGGCAGATGTATGTCAACCCTCATTTTCAAAGACATCGCTTTTCTTTAGCGAATCAAGCAGAAGATCTGAGTTTTGAGAAGTATGACGATCAGAACTGCATACGTGAAAAGAATAAGATTCGAGAACCTTGAGCTGTGGAGGACTACGGAAGCCTGGTTTGGAGACACTTCACTATACTTTCTTTTATAACTGAGGATGTTGTTGGACCATTCATTTAGCAAAAACGAAGAAGCTGTTGCCTTGAGTTCAAGATAGGAACAAAAACATGGAGTCATATATTACTAATTCCGAATGAAAGAGTCGGTGAATGCATACTATTATATTTTATACAAAAAAATTGCTTGTTGATTTTCTGAATGGTATAGAAACTGCACGCAATAGAAGGGAGAATTTGCAAGATGAAACAGTCAGCCTTACGTATAAAAGCTTGGATAACAAGGTAGATTTGACTTTATGCACTCTCTGCAGTTATTTAAAATTTTACTGAATAATCAAAATATGCAGAGTCCTAAGTCAACAGTGCTAACAGAATCGGCAATCGCCTTGGCGCATGATTGCGTTTTTGTACTTAGCGCTGTTTAAGGATGCAATCTCATTTTGGAGCGTAAAAACTTTCGAATAGGAGATTAGAGAAACCTAAGAAAACTCGTTCTGATAGTGCAGAAATCTATGAAGCGTTATTTGCCATTAACCAATGAAAAACTAGTTTCGCTAACGGGTGTGGTTTGCTGATAGTACGATATTTGAGCAGGATCTCTCTCTTTTGCCTCTGTGACGAGTTTCAACAACTTTTACGATTCATTGTCCATAATTGGAGACTGAGCAGGCATTCTGTTATTTGGCCATCTTAAAATGTAAACCGAGCTGGAAGGTAATATTTTGCTCCAGGATTAGAATTCCGAAAGAAGCCAAAGTTGCCTGGCTGCTGAAGTTGGAAGATGCAAAAGGAAATATAGCGGAAGAATGTGTCACTGGTTCATCAGATTTTCGTCAGAAGTGCATTTATAACATTGATATACAGCTCTCTCTCAATTCCGTATCATAATACTATCGAAATGGAGAGTTCAATCATGCGTTTTAAAATTTCCCGAGTTTTTTTCACTTCGACTGTGAACGAACGCGCACCAATTTTCATCCGATCAAGATTTTAAGCAGTTAGAGTCCTCATATCTAAGAGAGAACATGCCAGCAGTCCGAACATTTTACAGACGCTCTGATCTGCGACAAACGTTTTTGCATTGTTACAAAGGCCGGTTATGGAAAATAAGCATCATTCAAAGTTTCAAGCGGAAACTTCGCGTGGAGAGTTTCAGAAGAACTTGCAGCTGACCACTCTTCAAGCTGCACTTACGTTCCACGTATGTGCTCTCTTCCTCTCATGCGTTGCTTGTAAGTTTCTGTGTCTCTTAGAGTCACTAATTGCTGGTGGGGACTAGAACTTGAAGGCAGTGAAAGAAGAAATTCCTATGCTCCCCCCCCCCCCTCCCGTCGTTGGCGATATCGCATTTATGTCTTAAATTACAACACATTAGATGCAAAGTGATTCAGGTGTTGTGGAACGAATTCGGGAATTATTAGCTAGATTCTGCTTATTACACTATTGAAAAGGAGTACCTCAAAGATTACATGAGGGAAAAAACACTGCGCTATTTCAAAATAAGCGATAAAAATTTTTTGGTAAATTCGCAGTCTTCTATCTAGCGTTTTGACAAAGAAAGGTTGATATCTTTATCCATGGAGCATCCCATCCTGTTAGCGTACTCCAATGCCCCCCCCCCTCCTCTCAATCCTCATATAGATTTTAAGAAACAGTTTCAATTCCAGCTAGAGAGCCTCAAGCTATGAATAGCCATGCCAGGAGAAAAGAAAAACAACGAACCGTGTTTACTGCATATTCGCCTGTAGCTTTGGCTCTTCGCAGTTTCTCCAGCATAGCCTCGATGCGTTCCTCACTAAAATACACTCACTAAGAACCAGGAAAGAATCTCCCTTATACCCTACCTGAATATCGCTGGAGAAGCCGAGGCGACTGCAAGAAGCGCTACCGAAAGGAGGACCAGCCTCATTTTCGACATCACCTGCAAATGATTGGTTCCGCTGTGGGTTCGCGTATTTGAGGGCACGAACTGTGACGAGACGAACTCTACTTAAAGTTCGGTTTGCCTAACGCACATATATCACACAACGATAATGATGAAAGCGAAGAGAAAAAAGAAAAGCGTTACCACCACTTAGGAACGCATGTTACTGTAAGTTAGTGTTGAAAAGTCGTAACACGATCGTGAGGTTTTCATTTGATTAGCTACGACAGTCCATCTACGACACAAAATGTGGTGATTTTTGAGTCATAGCACGTGCTAAATGTTAAAGCATTCTCACTCTTTAGCATGATTTTGTAGTCATGAAAAAACCAACTTGGGCGGAAATTTTGCGAACTTTACGAGTGTGACCGCTTTACTCTCGAAAAACATAACCTATTGTTTACCAGCCTTGGTATGAGTAGAGAAAATAAACAGCTGTCAAAAACGAAACGATTGGTAGTATAACTCTCTATTCAAAAGAAAATGAAGGCATTGTTTCTACAAAAAAATTAACAGTGGGTGTAACCGCAAACAGTAAAAATTGTAAGATAAAATATTCTTGGGCTTCAGGGACTATACTCCATCACCATGAATTTACTACTATTTCAAACTCGGATTGAAATATTTAAGAAACAAAGACAGAGCAGACGAAGGAAGGATGGAGAATAGCCAGGTACGTTTATCCAACACCATCTCGTACAAATAATTTCTTGGGTGGAAAAGTGGCAGACTAGTCTCTAGATCCTGCCTCTTTTAACCCTAATTATGCGCATCGCTTGGTTGCTTTTGGCTTGAAATACATGAGGCGAACATTGTGATCGGCTACCTGATGTATCAAATAAGCTTAGTCGTGATGAGAAATTTATGTTATAATAACTTAAGAACAATAGGATTACATCATACGTGAAATTTCATAGATGAAGGCGCTAATTTCTCGTTGAGGGGTCATGAGAGAGTGAGTTTGACTAGGTTAGGATGATTAAGTAGCAGGCAAAGTTCAAATCCAGCTTGACGTCGGGCAGCAGCGGTAGTGGGAATGGGGTGTTCGCGGGTGGGTTAGAGTGCACGGACCGGGCGGCTACTCATCCAGGTCCGCGGCTTTTATAGGCTGACGCCATTTCAGTCCCGCGCCTCGTTTTTTGCGAGTTTGCGGCCATCTCGCCTGCAATTGCTCACGCCGACAGCGATAGCGCGATTGTGAGGAGAACCTGTTGCACATGCAACATGCGCGTCGTCCGCGCGGCTTGCCGCGGCGGCAGCGGCCAAGTGGCCCTCGAGCAGCTTTTCTTCATGCGACGCGCAGGTTCCAGGCTTCCCCCCGAGGCGATAGGCGTAGTCCAGGCACACTTGCTTTGCATCATATCCAAGCGACCTCTCTCAGTTAGCTGTACAGATGCGGTTCCACTGCTCGCCATTGGAACCCGCCGAGTATTTTTCTGAGAGCCACCGGGCGGGGTATTGTTTGAATGCTGTTCCACTATAAATGTGGAAAAAACCCCATTCTTCCGCAGATCTTCTGCCCTTGCTGTTTCGTGGCTACCATCCTTATGCTTGCAAAAAACAGATCTCATGCCGTTTCTATGGCATAACAGAAATCGATCTTCAACATGACGTTTTTTACAATGGGTTGGGGTAAGCACTTGTCAACCACCTCCCATATTCGTTTAATTCTACGAAGTTCTTGACCAACAACCGCCATGACTCACAGCGCTAACGAGCCTAACGACAGCTTAGTCATGATGATGCATTCAATTGCTTAATAATCTAATACTTATACGACCACTTCCACAACTTGAAAGAAGCTTTGCCATCTATGACTAGTAATACCAGAAAAGAAAGTAGGGAATTTAGGGATCAACCAGGTGATTGATGGATCTGGCTCCTTTTTTGCATGATGAGATTAGAAAGAGTTAGATTACTTCCTGTCACATTAATACGAGCTACTGGAAGAGGCAACTGCGGTGGAAAAACGGAAGGGGGAAAATGTGGAAAACTTTGAGCGAAATGAGGCGAAGGCAACGGCGAGATTTTTCGGCGTCTGAGCGAGCGGGCGTAGGGTTGTACCATACGAAAAGTACTCGTACTCTAATAGGCTTACTCGCTTCTGTAGGTTAACAGTAGCTGGTATAGAAAAAGCAGTTGGATCTGCGAGTTAGTAAATAGCTCTTACAAATTCTCATGATGAGAAATCGAGTAAGGACGCAATGAAAAACTTTTTAGAATATGTTCAATTGAGAACAAGATTTGCAAATTGGACCTAGTTTCCGGTCGGAGCTGGGGACTTCAAAATGGCAGGAAATTATTATTGGACAATATCTCTTCCCAAAATGAAAAAAAGACAATTATAACGAGAATGTTCTGGGAATGCAGTATGCTGAGGACAGAGCCATCATTGCAGACTCAGAGCTCGCAACTCGTCAAACCAGTGGTCAATCGTTTACGAGACATCGTTCGCTATGATTATATGAGGCGTTTACTGCATGTTTTGCCTGAAAAAAACCTTCGCTGCAGGAGTAAAGTAGAATTCAAGAGCTCTCCACTCGATTTGTACACATTCGTTTTCGCCAAGCTTGTAAGCCCTAATCATCGCGCGTTACGCAAAGGTGTGCGAGCGAATCGAAAATGCGGATGTCTGCAGCGGATCGGACTGGTCAATTCGCAATCACACTTATTCAAAGTTTCGAAAGTCGTTAGAAGCGATGGAAAGGTGGGCCTGGAAGCACCTGGACGATTGTCATACTCAGTTCCTCCTTTTACGCGAGATTCCCTCAGCACCTACGATGTTGCCAAGCGAGTTTTTTTGCCATTTCAATCGTAGTCTCGAACCAAACCGGGATGGCTGTGTTGAGGTGGGCATGAGGGCTTGCGCATATCGCGCGGCACATCACTTTTCGGAAATCTGAGACCACTTGGCATCCTTGAAAGCCCAGTCGAGGTCTATAAGGAGTCTCCTTCAATTCACTTTCTTCTCAGGCAAGGATTTCCTCAGATGCTATAAATGTTTTGCTTTCACGCAGTACCAGTGATTTACGACAGGAATCAAATTTCGCGTGATTAAATAAGCAATATAATTTATTTCCAAAATGTTGCTAAGGATTGCAGAGGGATTAGCTCTTTGGAACCCAAGCTGGCCACAATCATCCGAAGACATTTCCAGGCTGAAAAGCGCCTCCAACGCACTTGGACAAACGGCCGTTTTGCAACCAGACTTGAGGCAACGGCCATTTTGCCATGATAGTACCCTTGACAATGTCCTAACGCATAACGCACGCGGCAACATCTCCTTCCCCTTAATCGCACGGGCAACCTCTGCAATTTCGGGTGCGGCCTGCGGTCCTCTAGGGAAATGCCCTCCAGCAATACGGTCGTGGTGGAATCGGCCCACCCCCCAGATTTTGAACTAGATGTAAAATTGCCAAACGCCTACGCAACAAATATCTAGTATTTTCAAGTGTTTCGGTAATATTGATGTAACCCGTTTTATTCAAAAGTTTTTGTTAAAATCAATATACAAAAGCGATTTTGGAATTAACCGCTCCGAAGCTATAGCAAACCACAACAAGTAAACGCCAATGATTTATTTTAAGTAAGAGCTCGTCCGGTAGGATTCACACTCTGATGCGATTTGTCATAACTTTCCATCGTTTCATGCCTTTTTCATAAAGGATTCACATATCGTAATACATTATTTGGTGATTTTTACAGCAAGTAATAAAGTGAGCGACACTGTCTGGTCACAGAATCCATAAAAGTTTTCCGTTGAGACGAATTGCGGTGAAAAAAACTTCTGATCTTGACAAACCAAGATCAAAACTGAGTTTATATCGGGCAAGTCACTAAACCAGCTTATTGCTTAGCGCGCTAATTAAACATTATTACCGTACGGCCACTTTTTCCTAAGGATCCCCCAAAATTTCATCTTTCCAAATTTTTCACAAACTGCACCGCATAGTTTTACTGCTTTAATGCGATGGAACTCGACCTTCTACGTCTAATTCGCCATCTAGTTTTCGCTCAGATGCAGAGTTTGCAAAGTTTTCTTTTAAAGTATCTTCCCATTTGTTGAAAACGAGAAAGTTGAAGAAAACAATTTACTACGAGTTTTGCGTTATTTGTTTCTCAGGTTAGGGGGATTTCCCATGATGTGCGCCCGTCTAATGGAAAGAAAGGTCACTAAGAAACGTCCTTTTTTTATGAGCGGATGCGTAAATTTTGTTACATTTTGCTCCACTAGCTGAGTATAAGGAAACCTCACATAAATATCTAATGTTAGGTCCTATATTTCAACTGTCGAAATAACCACGCCTACGAGCGTGCCGAATAAATGTAAAGAAAATTCTAATGCCCCTTTCTTGGTATGTATCGATGCATGAGTAGATTAAAGTACACATTTGAAAAATTAAAGTTAGCATATGTCAACATGGTAATTATTTGCAGAGGTATCAGTGTTAATTTGAGTCCCATCAACAAAACAAAATATAGCGAACAGGCGGTACTATACTATGTGTAGAAAGGAGATTGACTGAAATTAGAAGAGTGTAGTGGTTCTACAAACGTATCTTTTACGGTGCGGTCAAATCCATACTTATACCTCACTTGTTTTTCTAAGTGTTCGCAAGAACTTCGGTTTTCAAAACAAAAAAGTCCTTGAGTACATTCCCTACAAGTTCGCTCCTTATAAGGACCTACTACTTATGAAATTTTAGCAGCTTCACCTTCATCTGACAGCTTCTGTGCAAGAAACACAATCGCCGCAAGTTTTTCGAAGCAAATAACATACTTCAAGAGATTAGCTCACTTTCTTGTAATCATACACATTAGTGAAACCGCTCAAGTGGTTCGTAATTCCAAAATCTTCGCTCATCAACCTTAGCGCTTGTTTCTTTCTTCGAAGCGCCCATTAGGAAAGAAGATCTGAGCGGTGTTGATGTTTCCAAAGCATCTCCGGTTCCAGGAGATAACTAAGGCATGCAGAAAATCTTGCACTTGAAGCG